TAATCCTAGCACTTAAGGAGGCCAAGGCGAGTGGATCACAAGGTCAGGAGATCAAGACCATCCTGGCTAACACAGTGAAACCCCGTCTCTACTAAAATTACAGAAACTTTGCCAGGCATGGTGGTGGGTGCCTGTAGTCCCAGCTACTCAAGAGGCTGAGTCAGGAGAACGGCGTCAACCCAGGAGGCAGAGCTTGCAGCGAGCCGATATCGCACCACTGCACTGCAGCCTGGGCAACAGTGCAAGACTCTGTCTCAGAAAAAAAGTATTTGGGCCCATCCCCCAAGATTCTGACTCAAGAGGCTTGGGGCAGGCTGAGAACTGTGCTTCTGAGTGTCCAAGGGATGGCAGGCTCGGTGCCTGCACTCTGGGAGCCTGAACCCTCTCAATGGGCCTCTCACTGTCTTCTACACTGGCTTGGTCCAGACATGAGAATGAAGAATGCCCCTCTCCCCGGGCTCAGCACCTCCCTTGACTGCTGGTCCCCACTCCTCTCAGCGTGGCCCTCTCTCTACTCCTCCCTCTTTCCAGGATCTGGTAATCACCCTCCCATCCTTGGATGCACACCCCTTTGCAATGTAACCGCACTTTCTCCCACCCAGAGGTGAAGTCGATTTCTCCATACCCTCACCCTAGCCAATGGGATGGAAGCAGAGGCTTGAGAAGTACTTATGCACCGAACTTTGGAACCTTAAAACCGCCAAGCCCAGCCTGGCCTACTGAAAGATGAGACCATGTGGGGCAGAGATGGGCCAGCCCAGCCCAGGCTCCCAGGAACCAACCAATCTGCCAACCTTCAGAATGTGAGACCATCCTAGATCGTCCAGCCCCAGGCCAGCCAGCCCAGAGGAAAACCACCCAACTGACCCACAGAATAGGGAGAAACAATCCAAGCTGATAAGTCACTGAGTGCTCGCTAGGTGCTAAGGCTCGGTCCTAAGAGCTTTCATGTATTAACTCCTTAATCCTCACAACAGTCTTAGAATATAAAATCTATCCTGAAGTGCACCTGACAGATGAGGAAGCAGAGGCACAGAGCCATGACATATTCTGCCAGGACACACAGCTATTAAGAGGCAGAGTTCAGCTTTGAATCTCGAGACCACACTCTTACTTACAGTGTCCTACTATCGAAGTCCCCTCCCACAGCCAGCCTGCTGATCCCCCTTCCGTCTGCTCTCCACAGGCAGTGGGCAGTCCGAGGAATGGACATGGTGCAGAGCTCAGTAGCAATGAGACCAAAAGGGCACAGACATAGAGCTATGATGTCAGAGCTGAAGAGGCCTTGAGAACCACCTAGTCCACATCCCAGGCCTCACAGATGAGGAAACAGAGGCCCAGAGAAGATAAGTCTGCCGCTGTCACCGGGTCAATTCCTGGCCAATTCAGGATGAGGCCCCAGGTCTCTCAACCTCCAGGACTCCCAGCACCCTCTGGCCATCTCTTTGGCTTCAACCTTTTAAAATTTTTTAATATTTTATTTATTTATTTATTTATTTATTTATTTAAAGACAGGGTCTTACTATGTTGCCCAGACTGGCCTTGAACTCTGTGGCTCAAGAGATCCTTCCGCCCTCAGCCTTACAGGCACACACCACTGAACCTGGCTTTGGCTTGAACTTTTGCTACAGAAAACTGAGCCCCAAGAAACCCAATGCCCCAGGGACAGAAGATACCCACCTTTGGTGTGTGATGCGCCATCCCCAGGGAATACATAGGCATCCTCCAGTTTGGTGATATCAAACAGACATATGCAGAGTCCCACGTTGTACACGACCTGCATGCATACAAACATAGACACACAAGCACACATGGACACAGAGTGACCACAGGCCCAGCTCCCAGGCAGTCTGAACCCCTCACAACCGCAAGCAAGCCATGATTATCTCCTTTTTAAGGTGAAAATGAGTTTGTGGAGGAAACCAGGGTAAGGAACCTCAGAACGATGCAGAGATCTGGAAGGAGCAGGGCCTCGGGTGACAAAACAGGTCCAGGTTCCAAGGCCAGCTCTACCACCCACTGTGTGACTGCCAAGAGGGTCACTTCACCTCTCTGAGCCTCAGTCTCCCCATCACAGAATGGGAAATACCAGACGGCAGGGTTATAAAATAAAGAGAGATAACAGATGTGAAGCCCCTAGCCTAGTGCCTGGCTCGTGAGCTGAAAACAATCATCATTGAGGATCTTTGTTATTACTAGTGAGGACCAGTGACAGGAATGCTAGCTAAACGTGCAGTCTCCGACATCCCAAAGCCAATGCCAGAGCTCATAGTTTAGTAAGCGTCAGAACCATTGTGCTCACAATATCTTAGACACACAGATGCAGCCACAGGGACTGCAGCTGGCAGAGGGACACATGACCTAGGCCCCAAGAATGTGCAGAAATCCCATGCCCCCACCCCACACCATGGTGTTTCAAACAACTGGCTACTCAGTGTCTGCTTATCTGCCACCATGTCATCACCCCCACTTAGAACCCTTGCAGGAACTGTCCAAGAATTAGCAAGAAGCTCAGAGAACTCAGAGTTGTGGCCAAACCTCACCAAGATAAGGCCACAAGATCCATGCCCTTTGTCAGACCATGGATTTCTGTTTGGGCCTCCTCTCAAATGATTCATCTAATTGACTACTATAAGACTTGTCCCAACAGGACCTGTACTCCAAAGGGACTCCATTCCCTTCTTGGACTTTCTACCCCTTCTCTCTCCACAAGGTCCGTACCTCATCCCCCAACAGATCCTCACCTTCAACCTCACAAAGTAACTAGCAGCCATCCACTTAAAGACTCCATGAGTTCCCTTCACCACCTAACAACCTTCAAATCAACCTCACCGCTTCTGAAGGGACTGCCTCAGGAAGCTGAGCTTCCTCTTTCTGGCTCCTTCTCAGTCCATCACCTCCTGATGCTCCACGGATAAAGACCAGTACCTCATCCTACAGGGCTGTGTGGCCTGGCCCCCACCCACCTTTCCAGCCTACCCTTCCCTCTGCCCAAGCCACACCAGCCTCTTCCACACCATGGTAGGTGTTGTACCCCTTCTTCTTTTTTTTTTTTTTTTTGAGGCAAAGTTTCACTCTTGTCACCCAGGCTGGAGGGCAATGGCACGATTTCAGTTCACTGCAACCTCCGCCTCCTGGGTTCAAGTGATTCTCCTCCCTCTGCCTCTCAAGTAGCTGGGATTACAGGCGCCCACCACCATGCCCAGCTACAGCTACTTTTTATTTTTAGTAGAGATGGGGTTTCACCACGTTGGACAAGCTGGTCTCGAACTCCTGACCTCGGGTGATCCACCAGCCTCAACCTCTCAAAGTGCTGGGATTACAGGTGTGAGCCACCACGCCCTGTCTGTATTCCTTCTTCACAGGGCCTGTGCACATGCCAGTTCCTGCCTTCAGGGCTCTTCTCTCCACCCAGTCCCCTCCCACCCCAGAAAGGAATCCTCTGGTTGGCTCTACTTCACCATCAGATCTCAGTTCCAACCCCACCTCCTCACCAAAGCCGCAGGTTCCCTCATTCCAGGGGATGGTCCTTTGTTCCCGCAGGTGTGTGAACACCTGTCCCTCATAGCATTTACCTCAATTTGTCACCACACCCTCAACTATGGACCCCTCTCATTCGTATCTGCTTTTCCCAGCACACTATAGCTCAGAGCCTTGCCTCTGTTTCATTCAACAGACAAACGGCTGGGCGCAGTGGCTCACGCCTGTAATCCCAGCACTATGGGAGGCTGAGGCAGGCAGATCACCTGAGGTCAGGAGTTTGAGACCAGCCTGGCCATCATGGCGAAACCCTGTCTCTACTAAAAGTACAAAAATTAGCCGGGCGTGGTGGCGGGCACCTGTAATCCCAGCTACTCAAGAGGCTGAGGTAGGAGAATAGCTTGAACCCAGGAGGTGGAGGTTGCAGTGAGCCAAGATTGCACCACTGCACCCCAGCCTGGGCGACAAGAGCGGGACTCTGTTTAAAAAACAAACAAACAAACAAACAAAAAACATAAAATTATGGAACATCTACTGGTGCCAGGCTCTGGCTAAGTGAGGGGATACTTCAGGGAAGAAGACAGATAAGTCCCTGCTCTCAAAGAGAGGGAAAGGAAAAAGTCTAAGATGGAAAGAGTGATGCGACACAGAATACCTGGAAAGGGAGGACTGCCAGAGAAATGGCAGTGGGAGGACCTCTCAGCTGGCACTAAGGCACATAGGCACGGCGCAGAGATGGCGCACAAATATTGGCTGCTAGAATGAAGGGATGAACCCCCTGACAGTTAGTTAACTCTGTACTACTAGAACTGTTCATCTTCACAAAAACAATGCACTGGCCCAGAGCAGTGGCTCACGCTTGTAATCACAGCACTTTGGGAGGCCAAGGTGGGGAGATCAAGAGATCGAGACCATCCTGGCCACATGGAGAAACCCCGTCTCTAGTAAAAATACAAAAATTGGCCGGGCACGGTGGCTCACGCCTGTAATCCCAGCACTTTGGGAGGCCGAGGCGGCGGATCACGAGGTCAGGAGATCGAGACCAACCAGGCTAACATGGTGAAACCCCATTTCTACTAAAAATCCAAAAAAAATTAGCCGGACGTGGTGGCGGGCCCCTGTAGTCCCAGCTACTTGGGAGGCTGAGGCAGGAGAATGACGTGAATCCGTGAGGCAGAGCTTGCAGTGAGCCGAGATCGCGCCACTGCACTCCAGCCTGGGCGACAGAGCGAGACTCCATCTCAAATAAATAAGTAAATAATAAAAATAAAACTAAATACAAATACAAATACAAAAATTAGCTGGGCATGGAGGCGCGTGCCTGTAGTCGTCCTAGCTACTCGGGAGGCTGAGGCAGGAGAATTGCTTGAACACAGGAGGCGGAGGTTTGCAGTGAGCCGAGATTGCGCCACTGCACTCCAGCCTGGGCGACAGAGCAAGACTCCGTCTCGGGGAAAGAAAAAAAAAAAAAAAAAGAAACGAAACAAAACAAAAACAACAAAAAACCAATGCATGGCTGGAAGGACAGCAACATTTTATCCCCATTTTACAAATGGAAACTGAGGCCCAGAGGGGGTAACTTGCCTGCAATTGCAAAGTAATTTAGAATTGTAGAGTCTGACACTTCCAGTTACAACTCCCTTTTTTAAGCTCATTTTCTTTTGATCCCCTTCAACATCCTGTTTCACGGTGAACAGAAGTTCTGAGACATTAAGCCGCTTGCCCACGGCCAGGGCTTGGCATGACGGAGGCCAGGCCTGCGGCCGGTGGGCGGCG